AAAAAAGATAGGCACAGCACAACAATAGTGGAGGTGAAAACAAACAGGTGCAATTTATTTACAATATTTACAGAAAAATTGATAAAACAAAAAGAGACATCAAAATAAATCCTGGCCAACTTGGCTACTTACTGCAACAACACAGCTTTTCCCTAGCTACCCACTAGGTACAGCCTGCTGCTATACCTAGTTGCTAGTACTGGGAGGTTAGCCACACAGGCTTTGGTCTCTCTGCACACAGATAACAGGTCAGCTCCCCAGACAGTTCAGGCACAGATCTGGTTCCAGGGTGGAGCAACTCCCTAAGCACTCTGGGAAGCTTTATACAAGTGTTAATGAGCCCACTACCTTCAGCTGGGCTCATTATCTCAGTGCTGAAGGACTCAGCACTTCAAATACCATACCCCTCTAGTGGTACAAATCCCCATAAACCCTGAATCTCGGACAAATATATCGTCCATCCAGGACGCAACCAGGTGATTTCACCTGCCTACTGTCACAATATATATATATATAACAGTGTCTTATTTTTGGAGAACACCCTCTGCCTTCAGGAAACTATGAGAGCCTTCCAGACCCAAAAAGGGAACTACGCAAAATGAGCAGCATGAATATTGATATGGCCCTGGCCAATTGCAGGGGAGGGTGGGGTATTTATGTTCTGTGAGCACATGGGTTCAGTGTCTATGTCTTTCTCTGGAGAGAATTGAACCAAGCCAGACTGGAGGCAGGCTTGTCTCGCCTGGCACTTGCTGCCATGCGGTCCTCAGGTGGGCGACATGAGGGCCTGGACCTAGAGCGAGTGACCCTGGTTCTACAGTAATCTGAGAGGAGCTTCTGCCAAAGATCTCTCTGGTATCACTGGAGAGAGAGTTGCTTGGAAGATTGCAAGAAGGTTGCCATTCTGTCCTTTGACTTGTGAGTACAGACACTGAGAGATCTTTGGGACTCTGTGTGCTTTGCTATCCCTCTTGAGCTTGATAGTTGGCGTGGGTCTGAGAAATGGAAGTACTGACTGGGGTTCTGAAGAGCTTGTCCAACCATTGCTACTGCAAAGGACTTTGATCAGTTCTATGACTTTTGGACTGCCACAGTCTGCTGTAACAGACCTGTACCTAAGGGCTCAGTCCTGCAACTACTATTACTGCTAAAGGTACATTGCTCACTCCTAAACTACTTGTTGCTACAATGTAAAGAGAAGTCTGCTATATTCTTTCAGCCAGAACTCCAAAAGTGCTCAACTAAGAGATCTGCTAGGTCCCTATCCTCAGTTCTGCAATAAAACTACAACAACAAACGACCCCTAGACTGGTCATTGAACACAACGAGCGAAAGAGTGTGTGTACCTGGCTGTGAAAAAGTCCGTGTGCCTGGCTGCAGGGTGAAGGAGAAAACTTGGGCAAAAATACAGAGGTTCTTCTGGGGGTATAAACACACACACACACCAAGCAGTATAGAAAAAGTTGGGTCAAACAACATAACACCACACTTACAATGCTTACACTAGTCAGCTTTTATTCATATGGTTTAACTACTTCCGTTGCACCCTATACAGATACAGTGGGGATCGAAAGTTTGGGCACCCCAGCTAAAAATTTGTATTAATGTGCATAAAGAAGCCAAGGAAAGATGGAAAAATCTCCAAAAGGCATCAAATTACAGATTAGACATTCTTATAATATGTCAACAAAAGTTAGATTTTATTTCCATCATTTACACTTTCAAAATAACAGAAAACAAAAAAATGGCATCTGCAAAAGTTTGGGCACCCTGCAGAATTTATAGCATGCACTGCCCCCTTTGCCAAGCTGAGATCTGCCAGTGTCATGGATTGTTCTCAATCATCATCTGGGAAGACCAGTTATGTCAATCTCAAAGGTTTTAAATGCCCAGACTCATCTGACCTTGCCCCAACAATCAGCACCATGGGTTCTTCTAAGCAGTTGTCTAGAAAACTGAAAATAGTTGACGCTCACAAAGCTGGAGAAGGCTATAAGAAGATAGCAAAGCACTTTCAGATGTCAATATCCTCTGTTCGGAATGTAATTAAGAAATGCCAGTCATCAAGAACAGTGGAAGTTAAAGCAAGATCTGGAAGACCAAGAAAAATATCAGACAGAACAGCTCGCAGGATTGTGAGAAAAACAATTCAAAACCCACGTTTGACTGCACGATCCCTCCAGAAAGATCTGGCAGACACTGGAGTTGTGGTACACTATTCCACTATAAAGAGATACTTGTACAAATATGGTCTTCATGGAAGAGTCATCAGAAGAAAACCTCTTCTACGTCCTCACCACAAAAATCATCGTTTGAACTTTGCAAATGAACATATAGACAAGCCTGATGCATTTTGGAAACAAGTTCTGTGGACCGATGAGGTTAAAATTGAACTTTTTGGCCAGAATGAGCAAAGGTACGTTTGGAGACGAAGAGGCACAGAATTTAATGAAAAGAACCTCTGTCCAACTGTTAAGCATGGGGTTGGATCAATCATGCTTTGGGGTTGTGTTGCAGCCAGTGGCACAGGGAACATCTCACGAGTAGAAGGAAAAAATGATTTCAATAAAATTTCAGCAAATTTTGGATGGTAACTTGATGCCATCTGTGAAAAAGCTGAAGTTAAAGAGAGGATGGCTTCTACAAATGGATAATGATCCTAAACACACCTTGAAATCCACGGGGGATTACATCAAGATGCGTAAACTGAAGGTTTTGCCATGGCCTTCACAATCTCCTGACCTCAACATAATTGAAAATCGATGGATAGACCTTAAAAGAGCAGTGCATGACAGACAGCCCAGAAATCTCAAAGAACTGGAAGACTTTTGTAAGGAAGAATGGGCAAAGATACCTCAAACAAGAATTGAAAGACTCTTGGCTGGCTACAAAAAGCGTTTACAAGCTGTGATACTTGCCAAAGGGGGCAGTACAAGATATTAACTCTGCATGGTGCCCAAACTTTTGCAGACACCATTTTTTTGTTTTCTGTTATTTTGAAAGTGTAAATGATGGAAATAAAATCTAACTTTTGTTGACATATTATAAGAATGTCTAATCTGTAATTTGATGCCTTTTGGAGATTTTTCCATCTTTCCTTGGCTTCTTTATGCACATTAATACAAATTTTTAGCTGGGGTGCCCAAACTTTCGATCCCCACTGTAAACTGATACAGGGCGGCATGGGTGCTGTCAGGAATGGACTGGCCAGCAATAGTAGGACTCACCTGCCTTATGAGCTGCAGTACCAGGGCTGGCCAGCGGGTGCTCCCAGCAATCAGAGACTCAACCTTGCAGCCAGTCAAACACCTGGAACTAATTATACTGGTGTATTTAAGGGACATTCAGACCTGCAGACTCTGCCTTGGTGTTGTGTTTTTCCTGGGCCCTGTATCTTGTAAACCTGTGTTCCTGTTGCTGACCCTGCTTGATTCTGACCTCTGCTGACTTCTTCCTGTTCTGATCCTGGCTTGTGACCCTGACCATCCCTCTGCCTGACCCTCTGTACCACGCTGCCTGCTACCTGCTGAACCTGGCCTGTGACCCCGACCATTCTCGCTTGCTCCCCCTGTACCTACCTGCCCGATTGATATTGACCCGGCCTGCCTGACGACGCTTGCATTGTATGTACTGTTATCTGTGGGTGGTTGGTTTGGTTTGTTTGCACTGTGTTATGTTTTAGTATTGCACTGCGTTTATGTTTGTATTGTTAGTGTTAATAAATTATATTGTTTATAACATATCTGAAGTCTGCGTTTCCCTGCGTCAGTCACATACCTCTGGTCACACCCGGGAGCCCTGACATTACACCAAGGCCAATCCTGACCAGAAGTGGCTGCACAGGGAAGCCATCTTGGTTTGTTGATGGGAAGGATGGATCTTGATGAGGTTGTGTATTTATATCTGCTAGTGTTTGATGACAGAGAGTATGCTTATCAGACTCTGAAGGAGTATACCTGGGATGAACTGCTAGAATGTATACGGCTCGCTCATGTTCTAGTAGATCAAAGCACAGAATTCTCTGAGGTGCAGCCATTGATTCAGATTTGTGCGGAGTTGGTTTCATCTGGTTCCCCCGAATGCAGGGATGAATTTTTGCCCCCATTTAGCGCAGACCAGGTAGAGTCCCTGGTATGGTTATTAGGGGATGATGTGGATTGCTTCTTGGAGCATTATGCTGCATGTTCACCACAGATACTAAGAGATTTGTATAAACGCAGTGCAGTCTTTAGTCAGACAGGCTTTGTGTAAGCTCAGCTTTGTTCAACCCATACTGCAGACATGGACAGATTTGTTGCACCCAGCCTCAGTCAGCTTACAAAAACCCAGTCCTGCTTCTAATCTATTTCCTCAAAGCTCTATTCCTGCATTCCCAACAGCTCCTCCTGCCCTGCTATCTACTGCATGTCAGTACCCTGTTCCCACTCGCTGCACCTATCCTGCCTTTAACCCTGTAAAAAAGCCCTCTGTAGCAACTGCTCCCTCCTCTGTTCCATCTTCCAGCTCTTCTCTGTCTCCAGCTGCTCCATTCGTTTGCAGACCTGCGTTTACTTGCAGTGCTCCAGTAGTTAAAACCAGAAAAAAGCGAAAATTCTTTCCAATCAATACCATCCTGCTAGTATCCAAACCCGGTGAACCTGCCGTCTGAGAACCTGCCTTCTGTGGTTCAGCCTGAAGCCTCTACTCAGCCTGAATCCTCTACTCAGCCTGATGCCTGTACGCAGGCTGAAGAGAATCCTCTCTTCAGCCTGATGCCTCTCTTCAGCCTGATGCCTCTATTCAGCCTGAAGCCTCTACTCAGCCTGAAGCCTCTACTCAGCCTGAAACCTCTACTCAGCCTGAAGCCTCTACTCAGCCTGAAGCCTCTACTCAGCCTGAAGCCTCTACTCAGCCTGATGCCTCTACTCAGCCTGATGCCTCTACTCAGCCTGATGCCTGCATTCAGCCTGATGCCGTTACCCAGCATGATGAACTGATCCAGCCTGACAATCCTATTAGGCCAGTTGACTCGATGCCCGCTGTTGATCCAGATGATCCGGTACCTGATCCGGTGCCCGCTGTCGTGCCAATTGACTCAGAGCCCGCTGTCGTACCTGGGTGACTCGGTGCCCACTGCCTTGCCAGATGACGCAGTGCCTGCTGGCGAGCCAAATGACCTGATGCCTGGTGACCCAGTGCCCGCTGTCATACCTGGTGACCCGATGCCCGCTGTCGAGCCAGACGATCCAATGCCTGGTGACCCGGTGCCCACTGCCTTGCCAGATGACGCGGTGCCCGCTGGCAAGCCAATTGACCTGATGCCTGGTGACCCAGTGCCCGCTGTCATACCTGGTGACCCGATGCCGCTGTCGAGCCAGACAATCCGGTACCTGATGACCCGGTGTCCGCTGTCGTGCCAATTGAGTCAGAGCCCACTGTCGTGCCTGGTGATTCGGTGCCGCAGTCTTGCCAGACAACTCGGTGCCCGCAGTCTTGCCAGACGACTCGGTGCCCACAGTCTTGCCAGACGACTCGGTGCCCGCAGTCTTGCCAGACGACTCGGTGCCCGCTGTTCCGCCAGTTGACTCGGGTGCCCGCTTTTCCGCCAGTTGACTCGGTGCCCGCAGTCTTGCCAGACGACTCGGTGCCCGCAGTCTTGCCAGACGACTCGGTGCCCGCAGTCTTGCCAGACGACTCGGTGCCCGCAGTCTTCCCAGACGACTCGAAGCCCGCTGTTCTGCCAGTTGACTCGATGCCCGCTGTTCTGCCAATTGACTCGGTGCCCGCAGTCTTGCCAGACGACTCGGTGCCCGCAGTCTTGCCAGACGTCTCGAAGCCCGCTGTTCCGCTAGTTGGCTCGGTGTCCGCGATCTTGCCAGTTGACTCGGTGCCCACTGTCGTGCCTGGTGACTCGGTGCCCGCCGCTCCGCCTGGGGGCCCGAGACCCGCCGCTCCGCCTGGGGGTCCGGCGTCGCCCGCCGCTCCGCCTGGGGGTCCGGCGCCCGCCGCTCCGCCTGGGGGCCTGAGACCTGTCGCTCCGCCTGGGGGCCTGAGACCTGTCGCTCCGCCTGGGGGCCTGAGACCTGTCGCTCCGTCTGGGAGCCTGAGACCTGTCGCTCCGCCTGGGGGCCTGAGACCTGTCGCTCCGCCTGGGGGCCTGAGACCTGTTGCTCCGCCTGGGGGTCCGGCGCCCGCCGCTCCGCCTGGGGGCCCGAGATCTGACGCTCCGCCTGGGGGTCCGGCGCCGGCCGCCCCGCCTGGGGGCCCGATGCCTGTCGCCCCGCCTGGGGGCCCGATGCCTGTCGTCCCGCCTGGGGGCCCGATGCCTGTCGCCCCTCCTGGGGGTCTGATGCCTGTCGCCCCGCCGGGGGGGGCCCGGTGCCTGTCGCCCCGCCGGGGGGCCCGGTGCCTGTCGCCCCACCCGTGGCCCGGTGCCTGCTGCTCCCCCGGTGGCCCGGTACCTGCTGCTCCGCCCGGTGGCCCGGTGCATGCTGCTGCTCCGCCCGGTGCCTGCTGCTTTGCCCGGTGGCCCGGGTGCCTGCTGCTTCGCCTGGTAATCCGATGTGCCTCTGCCCGGAGTCCAGCCCGATGTGCCTCTGCCCGGAGTCCAGCCCGATGTGCCTCTGCCCGGAGTCCAGCCCGATGTGCCTCTGCCCGGAGTCCAGCCCGATGTGCCTCTGCCCGGAGTCCAGCCCGATGTGCCTCTGCCCGGAGTCCAGCCCGATGTGCCTCTGCCCGGAGTGCCTCTGCCCGGTGTGCCGCTGCCCGGAGTGCCTCTGCCCGGAGTCCAGCCCGATGTGCCTCTGCCCGGAGTCCAGCCCGATGTGCCTCTGCCCGTGTGTGCCGCTGCCCGGAGTCCTGCCCGGTTTGCCGCTGCCCGGAGTCCTGCCCGGTGTGCCAGTCTTTGATATCCCGCCAGTTACCAGACCCGGGCGGTGGAACATTTTGCCCAGCTAGGACTGTTTGGAGCGTCCTGAGGCCGCTCCTTGAGGGGGGGTACTGTCAGGAATGGACTGGCCAGCAATAGTAGGACTCACCTGCCTTATGAGCTGCAGTACCAGGGCTGGCCAGCGGGGTGCTCCCAGCAATCAGAGACTCAACCTTGCAGCCAGTCAAACACCTGGAACTAATTATACTGGTGTATTTAAGGGACATTCAGACCTGCAGACTCTGCCTTGGTGTTGTGTTTTTCCTGGGCCCTGTATCTTGTAAACCTGCGTTCCTGTTCCTGTTGCTGACCCTGCTTGATTCTGACCTCTGCTGACTTCTCCTGTTCTGATCCCTGGCTTGTGACCCTGACCATCCCCTCTGCCTGACCCTCTGTACCACGCTGCCTGCTACCTGCTGAACCTGGCCTGTGACCCCGACCATTCTCCGCTTGCTCCCCCTGTACCTACCTGCCCGATTGATATTGACCCGGCCTGCCTGACGACGCTTGCATTGTATGTACTGTTATCTGTGGGTGGTTGGTTTGGTTTGTTTGCACTGTGTTATGTTTTAGTATTGCACTGCGTTTATGTTTGTATTGTTAGTGTTAATAAAATTATATTGTTTATAACATATCTGAAGTCTGCGTTTCCCTGCGTCAGTCACATACCTCTGGTCACACCCGGGAGCCCTGACAGGTGCGCAATTCACACACATATATATATATATATATATTGTGACAGTATGAACGGCAAAGTGATGGATGGACGATATGTGTCACCCTCGCATGAGGTCATACTGTGAGGGGTAAGGTGGAGTCCACGCCGGGTTTTTCGGGGCCACAATGGCAGAGTTTGGGCTCCACTGATGTCCACCAACAGGTGAAATAAAAAGGGCAGGGCTGGAGCAAGGAGTCGCTTGTGGCCTGGGACTCAGAGAGGTATTCTGAGAGAGCTGTGTGTGTACTATACCTACAAGAAAAGGTTTGCTTTTGTTTTGTTTTTTGGTGACAGGGAGAAGCCCTTCACCTCTGAGAGAGGAAACGTCTTCTGTTTAGTTAGTGCCTGCATGGCAAGGGTTTATTTTGATGTTTTGTTTATTTTGATATTTTCTGCAAACCTTTTAAATAAAACTGACAACCAGTCAGATTTTGACGAAAGCCTGTTGTGCGGTCTACCTTTGTCCCAGGGAAGGAGATCCCCCACCTGAGCTAACCCCACATAATATATATATATATATATATATATATATATATATACACGTGATTTTGCAGTTCTTGGTAGGGGGTCCTACCTGCGCCACCATTCGCGACTGTCAATCACCGGCAATCGCTGAGTGTCACTGACAGGGGAGAGACCTATGTATAAACAACACAGATCTCTCCCCTGTCAGCTACTGCACACTGCTTTGTATGGCTATGCATAGCAGAGCCATACAAAGCAGTGTGCTTACAGTGAAGCGCACACACACAGCCCACATAGTAAAACAGCACACAGTTAACCCTTTCAGTGCCTCAGATGTTAACCCCTTCCTGCCCAGTGCCATTAGTACAGTGTCAGTATTTTTTATTAGCACTGATCACTGTATTGGTGCCACTGGGTAATGTCAGTGACACCAAGTCAGTTCACCCCCAGTGTCAGAATGTCCGCCGCAGTCCTGTTATAAGTCGCTGATTGCTGCCTTTACTAGTTGAAAAAACAAATTTCAGTATATACTGTATACCACCATTTGTAAACACTATAACTTTCATGCAAGCCAATTAATTTACATGTATTGGGATTTTTTTAGCAAAGACATGTAGCAGAATACATTTTGGCCTAAATTTAGGATAAAATTAGATTGTTTAAATTTTTTTTACTGGACATGTTTAATAGCAAAAAGTCAAAAATATTGTTTATAGCGCAAAAAATAAAAAATGCACAGGCGATCAAATACCACCAAAAGAAAGCTCTATTTGTGGAAAAAAGGACGTAAATTTAATTTGGGTGCAGCATTGCATGACTGCGCATTTGCTGGTTAAAGTAACCGTATCGCAAAAAATTGCCTGGTCAGGAAGGGGGGTAAATCCTCTGGAGGGCAAGTGGTTAAACTTTTTTCCAAACTCAGGCTCAGAAAAAGTTATGTGTTAATGCTAGCGATAGACTGTGTCAAATATGTAATTTTTAAATTTTGCCCATCATTCCACTTTAAGCCTAAAATCCCTATTTGACTCTCACTTTAAGTTATAGAGTAAATAATGGAAAACAAAGTAAATGGCTGACAAAGGCAGGAAAAACTATGAAACTGTACATGCTAAACTACCCCTTCTATATTTAAATATACTCCTATGATAATGCAGATACAACTTTAAAATACTCCTACCCAGAATGCACACATTTAAAGCTCAAAAGATGGTTCTAACACCATGCATACTGTATAACATGTTTTTGTTTGAAGTCTTACCTTTTAGAATAGGAAAACAGTCCAGTCCTAGTTTACAAACAATCTTCAGCACTTGACAATGAACTATGAAGACGCTTGAAAGATTTGCAGTATGATTGTAGCCTTCATTCCAGGGAAGCCACCCCCACATATACTTGTATGCAGAATACTCATTTTACAGTGACAGGAGAAGACTTGTTTGACCTGACCGTCATTCAAACATATGTGAAAACATGTACTCTCCCTTTTGTCACATAATGACAGTACGAGGAACTGTATTGTGACAAGCGTGTAAAGTTCTAATAGTTGGCTTAACAGCAATACAGACTAAACACAGAAATATTTTATCTATCCATCTACAGAACAATTCCATTGAACACGCCTACCAACTGGAATGACAAGGGTAAGAATAACGACTTGCTCTCCAGAGGATTTACCCCCCCCCTTCCTGACCAGGCCATATTTTGGAATTGAGTGGTCATGCAACACTGTACATATATTATATTTATGTAATTTTTTCCCATAAATAGAGCTTTCTTTCAGCGGTATTTGATCACCTCTGCGGTTTTTATTTGTTGTGCTATAGACAAAAAAAAAAAAGTTTTGCGTTTTGCTTTGTGCCAAAAAGTTCAATTTTGGTGTCATCTGACCAGAGCAGCTTCTTCCTCATGTTTGCTGTCCCCCTCACATGGCTTCTCCCAAATTGCAAATGGGACTTCTTATGGCTTTCTTCTTGCTGCTCTTCCATAAAGGCCAGTTTTGTGGAGTTCATGACTAATAGTTGTCCTCCAGAGTCACAATGGGCCTCTTGGCTGCTTCTTTAATTAATTCTCTCCTTGCCCGGCCTGTCAGTTTAGGTGGACATCCATGTCTTGGTAGGCTTGCTGTTGTGCCAGACTCTTTCCATTTTCGGATGATGGATTGAACAGAGCTCTGTGAGATGTTCCAAGCTTGGGATTTTTTTTATAACCTAAACCTGCTTTAAACTTCCCTAACCTGTCTGGTACGTTCCTTGGCCTTCATGATGCTGTTTGTTCACTAATGTTCTCTAACAAACCTCTGAGGGCTTCACAGAACAGCTGTATTTATACTGAGATTAAATTACACACAGGTGGACTCTTTTTACTAATTATGGTGTCCTTTTATGACACAGAGAATAGCTGCGATTCAACAGATCTCAGCTATTCTCTGGTCATTCACAGTTTATAACACTTAGGAGATCCTGTCAGCCCTTCTCTGGAGATCTGTGTTCTCCGTCCAGATTCTCCAGCCCAGAGCTGGAGAATCAGAGGGACCGAAGACTAAGCAGAGATAATTTACCTCTGTTTAGTAAACTGGTCTTTTACTATAATCTGGAGAGATTATAGTAAAATGAGCCGTTTTTTCAGAGTTTGTAGACCGTTATCCAGCGTTTGGAAGCCGTTCTCCCTTCGTTCGGAGAACTGCTTCATAAACTGCATTCACAGGAGAACTTTGTTCTCCGAGAATGCCGGAGAACTGAGCAGCGATCTATTACCTCTGGTTCACAAACGGACACCTAGGTGACTTCTGAAGGCAATTGGTTCCATTAGATTTTAGTTAGGGGTAGCAGAATGAAGTGGACTGAATACAAATACACGCCACACTTTTAAGATATTTATTTGCAAAAGATGTGAAAACCATTCATCATTTTCTTTCCACTTCACAATTATGTGCCACTTTGTGTTGGTCTATCTCATAAAATCCCAATAAAATACATTTACGTTTTTTTTACACCGGCATTTTATGCATACCCATTGGAAAGAAGATATCACTTTGCAGATACCTGGAAGGTGTGACTTCTGCACCTTATTGGAACAAGGAGTACTGAATGAGCTGAATCGCCTATTCAAGTTACAGAGCCAGCATTTATTGATGAGCACCTTGTCAATGTTGGGGGGTATTAATGGTTTTGCTTATAATATTTGCATCTGTAATTGTAAGACAATATGTGATTTGGCACATACCAGACAGAGGTGAGACTGTTAAACTAATGAAGAAGGTCGAACACCCACAGTTGTATTTTATCAGAGCCACTTGTATGAACAGTATAAAGTTTAAAGTGGACATTAGGTAAAATGTGACATTCCTATATAAAACTGTTTTCAAAGAACACTCAAGGGTGCACATATTAGAGTTAGTTTAACCCAAGGAAGTTTGTATTTCATTATACAGTACATAAGGATATATCAGCAAATGAAATTGTATATATGTTTACAAATTACTGGGTGAACTTGGATGACAATTTGTGATACATTTTGGAGCATTAAGCACTTGTTTCTTCGAAATACATGCTGTGAAGGGATGCGGCTTTATTAAGTCATCCAAATCCATGTGGTGGTAGAGTTTGCAGAATGGAGTTTTATTGAGGTATGTATATACCATGATATTTTA